ACCAAGACACACTCACAACAAAGACCACGTCATTTATTTACAAAGGCCAGTGTGGGAGCTGAGGGAAGGATGGAGAGGAGCCACGCAGACATCCTCTCTGGAGTGCTTGGGGCCCTTTCCCACTGGGAGAAAATCCTGTTTCTCATGCCTCCATATTCTCAGCCATGGGCCCGCCAAGCAGCTGGGCTAAGTAGCAGAGAGAGGAAGTGATATGAGCCTCCCCTGTGCTCCAGTATAGTCACGTCCAACTCCAGATCACAGGCAGCATTGCCAGCCTCTCCTTTCCTGTCTCAAATAGAACTTTCTGGCCTGGAAGGAAACAGTGAAGAACTCAAAGGGCAAGGGCCAGGGGCTCTAGATGGAAAGACCCTTCTACCATCCCCTGAAGCAATCAGGAGAGGGGTGTAAGGGTGTTGGTCACAGTTCCGGTAGAAGGAGTATCCACACTACCCCTGGGTTACCCAGCATCCAGAGGCCCAAGGGACCTAGCTCCCTGGGCTGTACATATTTCTGCCCTAGACTAGCCCTTTTGTCTATTTCTCTGGTGCGGGGAGCTCTGAACCAGAAATCAGCAAAGAATCCACTTCTACTCAACCCATATGCACCCCACCACCACACACCCACTGCCGAACCAGACCCCAACCCACTTCATGTCTTTTACGGGGGGCTCAAATCACTGGTACCTGGGGACACAGACAGGTCCTGGGTTCATGGAAATGTGTGTGTGTGTACATAAGCACGTGTGTTTGAGGAAATGGAGCTAATATGGCCCCTTGTGAGCCATCTCCCTTAGCTTCATTGAGCCCCTTTCAACTCAGGCTACATTAGCATCTCTAAGTCTCCACTGCCACGCCTGAACCAGGACTCTCCTGCCTAATAGAGCAATTAGTGCTCCCACTTCCTAACTGTCAATTCAACTTCCAAGCCTTTTCCTCAGGCTGTTTTGCCCATTCCCTTCCTCCAGAAATCTCAGGCCCTTCTCCTGGGCACCAGTCTCTGTTGGGCTGGTCCAGGGCTGGTTAATTCCTTGTTCAGACACAGTCCTATCTCCTCCTTCAGACGGGAGGAACAGACATCTTCCTCCCCCTGGAGGTCCCAACAGACCCCATTAAAAAGCACTTCAGGGGCGAGGAGGAAAATCTCAGCCTGCTTCACCTGCCCCTCCTTCCGAGGACGGAGTTCTAGCACTGGTTAGGCTGGAGGTGAGAGGGGATGGGGAAAGAGAGAAGAGAGTTACCAAAAGTAAACACAGACCAGCGAACCCTAGTGGTGCAGGTGAAAGGCCATGTTCCATAACCAGTCGGTTCCTCCTTCAACTCTGTGCTGCCACGGAGAAGTGTGAAGACTGCAAAGGCGGTTGTGGGCCAATCAACAAACTGTGAAGACCGTTAAATAGTTCTGCTCAAGCAGGAGCAGGAGAGAAGATTCCGGAAGAAGTAGAAATAGAACCAAAATTCTCAGGCAGAGCTACAGGGTTGGGGTCCACGCCTCTAAAGCCACCCTGTGTCTGAAGAGGACAGGAAGAAGACAGAGGGATGACAAGCAGCAGAGGGAAGGAGCCGACAGGAACCAGAGGTGGCATCCAGGGAAGGGAGAAGCAGGAGGCACGGCCACAGGCTTAGGAGAGCTGAGAGCCCAGCAGTCTCTCAATGGCCGCATTGATGTCCCCTCCTGTGGCAATCAGGGCCTGCAGGTTAGCCTCCCGGTTGATGAAGCCCATGGCGTTGAGCTGATCTAGCTGCTGCTGGAATCTCACTTCTGGCGTCTGCACCTACAGGGGACAGGCCTTGTGAAGCGGACACAGGACCAACTTCAGAAGCTGGGGGTTTACAATGAAGAGAAGACAACCTGAAGGTCTTCTCGAACATCCTCAGAGTCAATCAATGGAGCACGGTGGTGAGCTGCAAACAACTGTGTGATAATGAGGTGGAGGTGTCTTTCTTAAAATTTCAAAGTAACAGACAGGCTTCGGCCAGCTTATATGCCTAACGACTTCCCATCAACAGTCTGGAGATGTTAACAGGTACTCCAAACGCCAGATGCGCGGTGGTGGATAAGATGTGTACTAAACACCACCTCTAAACCCCTCCTAGCCATCCTCACACATACAGTCAGAGTAAAGGCCTGAGAATGGCTCCAGGAAAGAAAGAATCTGTTTAATTTTAACCAATCCACAAACATAGCTATTTACAAAAGAGGAGGTTTTTCCTATGTGACACTCCTATAAA